CCCCAAAACCCCAAAACCCCAAAACCCCAAAACCCCAAAACCCCAAAACCCCGTTGTTTTAGCCTAAACTATAATAATTGTAATTTATCAGAAATGGGTGTTAAAAATTTGTGGAATTTGTTAGCTCCCGGAGGAAAGAAGATCTGAATGGAGTCCCTTGAGGGTAAAATACTTGCAATCGATGCTAGTATATGGATCATTACTTTTGTAAATGCAGTGCAGAATGGGCATATCGGGAATAGTAGTAACTATGCCTATCTACATTGATTTGTGAAGAGAATTTGCAAGCTTCTAAATTTTGGAATCAAGCCTGTTTTTGTTTTCGACGGTAAGACCCCGGCTCTTAAAAGAAGAACTTTGATAAAGAGAAGGCAGATGATGCTCCACAAGACTGACATTAACTACAAGAAGGCAGCAGAGAGACTTCTCAAGAAACATCTGGATGAACATCTCAAGGAAGTTAGGCAGAGAGAAAAGTCCGGAAGTGGAGCTTTTGAGCAAAAGAAAGCGCCAATCACTGAAAAGCAAAAAGATATTCAAGAGACCATCAAAATGGTTGCTATCAAAGAAATCGAGAGAAGAAGGGAAGCTGAGAAGAAAGAAGACCAGGAGTTCAACGAAAGCATTGTCAGCACCCTCTTGATAGAGTATGGGATGCTCTTGCAAGATAGCGGGATTGATTTAAAAGATTTCTCTAAGCTTGATTGTGAGAAACAATATCAACTTATTGATGACCTGAAAAACTTGAAGCAGCAAACCGAGTTTAACAAGCTCGCAGCTGCCAGTGGAGATTTAAAGGAGTTCTCTGAAACAGCTCTTAAGTCATACATTCAAAGTGTCCAGGAGAAGAAGCAATTGAAAAATTACAGGATCAAGGCGAGTAAGGAGTACATCCGGAAAAATAATTTGGAGGATAAAGCTCAGAATGTGATGTATGCTAGTTCAAATAATCCCTCTTTTAAGCCAACCCTTCCAGATATCTTCAATAGGCCTAAGAAGAAGAGAGGCAAGAGGAAGGTAGAACAGATGATTGATAATCTCGAGAAGGAAGGGATTGAAGACAAGCGAAATGGTAAGGCTTCTCACATCTCATGAAATCTTATAAATTAATTATAGTTTAGAGTAATTTAGTCTTTCACTCATTTTCAAACTAATCTCTCTGATTTTTGCTAACAAGGTATAGTATCATTCGGAGAAGGAATCACTGATGTAGAGATCTACGCCTTAAATCCTCTTAAGATTCTTGAAAAGCTAACATTGGTGAATGAAATGCGGAATGAAAAGAAAGAAGAAATTCAAGAAAAGCCAGAGTCTTTGGAAAATGACCAAGACGCTTTCTGGGGAGATACACCTCAGCCTGACGACGAAGAGGATATATTTGGAGAGAAACAGCCAGGATCTCGCTCAGAATCCCCTGTTAATGATAGCTTTGATGATGAAGATTTTCAAGGGAACGTCAGTAGAAAGGCAGAGAAAGATCTCATGAAGGAACTGGGACAAGATCTTTCTGAATTTAGTTCAAAGAAGAAATCAATGGGATTTTCTGCTTCTAAGAGAAAACCTCAGCCTCAGAAAGAGCCTGAATCCTTGATGATAACAAGGAAGAAGGAAGAGTCTTCAACTACTCTTTCTACTACCCAAGTTGTCCTGACGAATAAGGACGAGAATGAGATGGTCAAAGTTCCTAAATTTGAGAATAATTACTATAAGAACAAAGACAGAATGCTGAGAATTTTTGATAAGGGATCTCACAAATCGAATAGAAAATCTGATAAGGTTGAAAAAAACACAAAGTTGGTTAAAGAGAATGCTCCTAAGAGATACTCTGGCAAAGACAAACTTTCTTACATGACACAGGCAGCTGGTGGAAAATCCCCGAGCCCTGGTTATGAAGAGAAGCTACCTAAGGAAGAGTCTAAGGAGGATGATTATTCAGAGGTTTTAGAGGAAGAGCTTGACTTGAAAGATTTGTTTGACGACATTGACGAAGAAGAGCTCAAAAAGTATGATGTAGAGCAAGTGAAAGAGTGACTTGAACTCCAGAAAATAAATAAGACAAAAAATTCGGAAGGGAACGAGAAAAACTTTGGTCTCTTTAGTGAAGAAATGTACTCTGATATTAAGGATCTTCTTGTTCTGTTTGGAGTACCTTATTTTGACGCTCCTTTTGAAGCAGAATCGCAGTGTGCTTATTTAGAAATGATGGGTAAGGTAGATGGGGTAGTCACACAAGACTCTGATGCCTTCTTATTCGGTTCAAGACATGTTTATAAAGATATTTTTGATGAAAGATCTTTTGTCCAGCATTATAACATGTCATTTATTGAACAAGAGCTTGGATTCAACCGTAACGCACTCATCTCAATGGCCTTGCTGCTAGGAAGCGATTACACAGTGGGAGTCAGGGGCATTGGCCCAGTCAACGCCACTGAAGTAATTCACACCTTCCATGATCTCAACGGCCTTAAGAGGTTCAAGCAATGGACTGACAAAGGAACTTTCCAAGGCCAAAAAGAAATGGAAGCTGAAGTCCGCAGCTACCATAAAAATAGATCTGATGATGTGTCCAAAGCACAAATGATCGAAGAAATGGAAAACGAAATTGAGTACAAGAAGAAACACAAGGAAATGGTAAAGCATTGGGAGTTTCCCAGTGGATTCCCTAGCAAAGATATCGTCGATGGCTACTTAAAGCCAAGCGTTGGTAAGAGCCACAATTATGTATAGACCAACTTGATGTGGAGAAATTCACTTGGCAAACTCCAAAATTTGATGAGATTAAAAGAATCGCACTTAATAAACTAAAATGGCACCCTCATGAGGTCCAGGAGTGCATCTGTAAAGTCCAAGAGAAGAGAAAGAAGGGATGGGTCTTTAGTAACCAGGCCCAGATCAGTGATTACTATAACAAGCAACATACATTTGCTTGGTATAAGAGTAAGAGGATTGGCAATGCAATCCAAAAGATCAAGAATAAGGGCAAAAAGAAGAATAAGTTTAGTTAATTTTCAACTCATGCTGACCATCATGGGGTTTTGGGGTTTTGGGGTTTTGGGGTTTTGGGG